AGTTTTCATTTCTATTAATTTCAAATTTGTTGTTAAGGTTTTCAGGAAAGAGGTTATTGTTGAATCGATTCATAAAAGTTAAATGCTGGTAGTAATTTATTTCAAAAATATCCATCGTTTTCATATCATTTATTATAGGTTTAGCGTGTTCACGCTTATTTAGTAAATGATTCTGCACGCATGTTTTTGTAAGCTATAAATTTTTTAAAGTTTTGATTGTTAAGTACTTGCCTATGATATGCAAATGCATTACGAATAAAGCAATGAATTAATTCAAAATATATTAGTTTGAGATTTACTTTATTGATATAAGAATGAACTCGATACATCATACCAATTATATTGGTGATCTTATATTAAATATATCTCCTATGAAATGAGGAGACCACGCTGGGACGGCAAATTTTAATAATGCTCGAATATTAGTAATATATAGGACATGCCAAAGAATTAAACCACGACTTCTGAATTCTTTTTTAAATTTTTCTAGCACTCTATTTCCGACTGCAGCGGCGTGCTCAGCTTGTAACTTCACATTGATTATTAGATACTATAATCCCCAAATCGCATTCTTTTGCTGTGGTTTCAAGCTGTTTGTTATGACCATGTGATTCCATTTATATATGTGATTCCATTTGTGATTTCATTGTATATATATGGTCTGGCTCTTTTTTTTTGCCCATGTGCATAACTTGTGCATGTGCATGCCTCCGTACCTTACCGAACGCTTTTGAAAAGTCTGTATAAATTGCGTCTGCTGTAAAACCCTGATTGATAGCATCTGTAACAATATTTCGTGATTCATGCAAAATGCAACTATGGAAATCTTTAGCAATAAAGTAGAAATAAATTAATCAGACTATTTTTTAAGAACTTCAAAACTTGTGTTGTCAGCCAAAACAAAAAAAAACCTTCAAATGAATTTGGAATGATTCTTTTTTAGGACGTTATTAAATTGTGAAAAAGTTCATAAACTGCTGGAAAACAGTGTCTTTGTGGTTATATATTATGTCGGAATGAATTATCGTTGCGAAATCCAGAATTTACTTGTTTGGCGCGAGTAACTGTATTTAATTATACAGTTGGAATATTTTTCACCAATCTAAGAGATGCTCGTTGCGATACAAGTTTCAGCCACAAAACATTTGTAATGTTAAAGTAATTGCTGTTAAAGGAGACAAGCAATTCGGAAGGATAACTTCAGCAGAAAGAGTAGGTAACATTTTGTTGTGTAATTAATGCAATAGGAAGCTCAATCATTTTGTTTTTAACTTTTCAAAGAGTTTATTTCAAAAGAAGCGTGATGAATTGTGGTTTACCTGATTGTATTGGGGTTGTAAATCCATCTGGTTGGATAAATGTTGAAATGTTTTTAGAATGGATGAAACATTTTTTAAAAAATGTAAAATTTTTACCAGTTAATCTACTAATTTAACTTCTTGACAACAACAAGAGCCATATTTCATTTGGCTATTTAGATTTAGCCTAGAAATGGCATAACTATGCTGCCCTTTCAACCATATTATAGTTACAAGCTGCAGCCATTAGATCAGTCAATGTATGGGCTGCTGAAACTTTATCACAATACAGCCTGTGATGGCTGAATTATATCTAATCTAAGACTAATGACCATATATGGTATAGCTGCAGTTTCAAGTAAAGCATTTGTACAAATTTTTACTCTATACATCTCTGCAGGATTTGCTGTGGCAGGTATTGAACCTTTTAATCCAAAAATATTTTTTGATAATGAGTTTTTGACTTCACACGTCCAAAACCTATTACTGTTAACCCATTTCCAGACGTTGTTTATCCAGTTTTTGTTATATTTTATGCTCCGGCTTTTAATCAGTTATTGACGTTAAGTCTGTCATTAGGCTTAGCTTTTAGTGTATTGCCAAAACAGCATTTAAAAATATCTGATCAGGAGAGTTAACTATCCAGTGTTTCTTTTAACTCTCTCATTAAGCAAGTCTAGAGATAATTAAGCCATTCCCAAAAGCATATATTAAGAACGTCTGTTAGAGGACATAAAGTCAGCGCTTCCCAATACTCATAGATTCTCCTGTTCCAAATAAACTAAATAAGCTTCAGGAAATGAAAATGAAATTTTAGTAAAAAAAGAAAATGAAAAACATGATGAAACTTCATCCCAAGATAAGATCTTCATCACACAAAAAAAGGAAACTTCATGTTGAAAGTAATAAAAAAAATTTTTAAACAGTTCATTAGAATCACAACATTTTAATGAACTGTCATGTAGTTCTACTTCAGGATATTGTAAAGAAGTAGTTTCATACTTTAACAACTAGGGAAACCTTGAGCCTCAGTGAAAAATAGCATTTTTTTTTTACACTGATTTTACTTCCTTTTTTTTCTTCTGATAAGAATGATAATTTTGTAATAAAATTAATAATAGCTTTATTGTTTTTTATTACAGATAATGCTTTGAAAAATAATTCATATGGATTCGTGGTATAAATTTGAATTCGGATTAAGTATAAATGTATTGTATCAAGGGTGCGTATATGTAGGATCAAGGGAGCATACTGGTATGCCCCCTTGATCCCAATTGAGTGTTTTAAGTTTTTATAATTTAAAATCTACTTAGAATACTCTGGTTAAAAAATTATTATTAAATTACAATAAGGTATAAAGTTTGCTTTGATGTTTTATTACTTTAAAGAATGAAAGGAAAACATGTACTTAATAGATTGACCTGAAATATTTTTTGGATGATGGGTGCAAACTCTCCCCTAAAATAAACAAAATTAGTTGCTAAACAGCAGAGTATAAAGCTGCTTTTTCTAATTTTTTTTAAAAAAAGCTGTTTATTTAGTTTTGATGCTTCAACTAAGATAAACAAGGAGCAATAGAAGTTAAATGAGTTTATATGAGTTAAATGAATTAGCAACATTCTCAATGGATGCTGTATAAGTTGATTTAAACCACGTAGATGCGGATGAAAGTAATGCTGTATTTTAATCCATACAAGAAAAATTCCGTTGGCTAGTTACAACTGCAAAGGTTTCAACCTCACACTTCAAAGAAAATGCTTCAGTGTTTTAAATGTTATGACTAAAATATTTAAAGATGATTGGAAAAAAGTGCAAGTACAAGAAATCAGCGCTACCTTGCTGATAAACGATGTAGAAATAGCTCTAATGTGAATAACTCTAAGAACTTATGAAATCTCTTTGGCTGTTTGTATTTTGGCAAAATTGTGATGTTTTGAAACAAGGGCTATTATTGGACACAGCGTAGTTTGGGATTAAATGTTTCTTTTATAATCATTAAAACTTGTTGCGGCTGCTTTTATTAAAAAAGATAAGTTGGTAAAGATTGAAACGTCCGTGTTCGCGGGCAATATATCTTTTAATGTGAATGTGGTTAGTAATGATTATGTAAATAAAAACTTAACGAAATCATTTAATTTGGTCTTTAGGGAAACGCATGGATATGATTCCACAAAAATTAACAACTAGAGTAGCGTTTTCAGTTTTTGGACTGTTGTTACATCTTTTAAATTATCAAAGTGTAATAATATCTGTGCAATTACATCTGTAGATTTTAAGATGAAGTTATTTTTTAGATGAATTAGCTAATAATGTATTATTTTAACTAGATGTTATTACATATAGAAATTTTTTCAGATATAATTACATCTGGAAAAATATATTAACTAATAATGCATTGTTTTAACCAGATGTAGTTACATATAGAGATTTTTTCAGATGTAACTCCATCTGGAAAAAATACTTCAAGATGTTAATGGACTTTAGAAAAATTACCAGATGTAGTTACATCTTTCTATTTTATCCAATATTATCTAGAAAGATGTAGTTACATCTTTCTAGATGATATTGGATAGATGTTATTAGAATAAAAGTAAAATACAGATGATCTTGGACAAAAGTGTACAGATAATCTTGAGCTACTCCACAGGTGTTTTTAGACAGATGTAATCTTTTACCATTTTTTAACATTTGGTGCTCTTGTTTAAATTAGTGAAACTACTAACAAGGATTCAACATGACTGAAAAAGAAATGTTTAATGTTCATAAAAACAAGCTAGATGCTGTGATAAAATAAATAAAAGTTTTGATCCGTAAAAAAAATTAAATTCGCCGTTACAGTATACAGTTTAAGATTATATACAGGTACAAAGTTTTACGCGTTCTTTTAAAATATAATTTAACTCACTGGCGTAGGAATAGGGGGGGGGGCGGAGAGGGCGATAGCCCCCTAACTAAAACACTAGTGTGGCGGACACTGCATTTAGCACCCCCTCCCCATTTTCTAAACAGTTTTAAAAAAACTTTTATGATAGCAGCAATGGAATTATCATTTTCCAGTCTGCAATGACTCAATCACAATTAAACATCACCATGGAAAAGTATATCCATAAAACTGTTTAAAATACTATCGCATACTAACTATTTTTTAAATGAATGTGTGCTGGCAAAAGATGACTAATCACGTTAAAAAGATGATTAATCCCGTTGCTTGTGATAAATAGTTGAATAAATAGATCATTTTTATCTATTTTGCTGTATCATACGAAATTGAAGAACTTTTTCCTTTTTAATATATGTTTTCAGCCCCCCCCCCCCAACTTTCGCGACCTACCTACGCCACTGATTTAACTGACACATTGAAAAAAGTTCGCAGCAAGTGGATAAATAAATTTTTATATAGGTATGAGCAATTTATGTAATGAGCAAGCAATTATTGTTAAAGATAAAAAAGAATTTCCTGCGCGGATTAAAATTTTTGTTTAAAATAAAACATGGCAAATATATTGCATAACAGTATACGTAATTGAAAAGGTTTATAAGAAGTTGAACTTCTAGAAAATATTATTAATTCCGGTGCCCAATATGAAAAGTGTCTTTGCAATTATGAAAATGTATTTGTAATAGCAAACATACTCTGATTCTTAAAATAGTTTAAAGGCTTTTCAAATTAAATAAGGGATTGAAATTAAAAAAAATTTCAAAAACATTTTTGTAAGATAGTTCCACAAATTGGTACTTTTTATTTGTATAAAGTACTATAAAACAATAAAATTAAATCAAAAATACTAGTTTAATCTAAGAAAATTTGAAATTTTTTATTTAAAAATGCAATTATTCATCGATAGATATATATTAATGTTTTTATAAGTTTCTTTTAAGAAGAGCCAATTAAACCGTATACATCAACACAAACGCGGCCAGAATTATCCGTATCAGCAACATTAAAAAGATCTTCTCCGTTCCAAATTGTTATCTGTTCTCCATTGTTCACAAAAACAGGGTAAGGAAAGTTAGAAAAAATGATTTCCTTGTCAGTAGCCATGAAACCAGGATACTGATAATTTTTATAATAATCATAAGTGATTACTTGACTTGGAGATGGAAAGATAACTTGTCTTTTGTCATCACAAACGAAGACATTTAATTTAGTGTGATCATCGTAGCAACCAAAATTACTTCCTTGAGCTGATCCCGAGCATTTGATAATTCCACTTACATGAACTAATTTAGTTGCTACTAAAAATCCATCTTGCCAGATGGGTACAATTGCAGGAAGATCACTCGCGCCAGAAAAGCACGCATTTTTTCTTAACAACACCCATTTTAAATCTAAAATAATACTTTCATATAAATCTGTTTAACAATTAATCAAAATTTATGATTAAACTAGTTTTTATTTCTCAAATAATAAGGAGGATCTAAAAGATCTTTCAGATCATCTTTCTTTTACCATGGTTCCATTTTCATGGTTCATGGTTTACATTTGAAAAGTTTCAAACTTATTTACCATACAGATATAATTAAAAAAAAATTACATGTAAAGGCTGCAGCTTAATTAATAGATTTCAAACCTTGCAAGTTTGTGCTCAATAATGATCTTTTTTCTTTATGCTCTTTAGCAACAATGATAGGAAAAATGCAAAGTATGATAATGAGTTTCATTTCGATTTGACTGTAAAACAAATTGTGTCAATATAAATATATTAGTAACAAATTAAATTTAAGAAATAATTTTTTTGAAACTACAATTAACTCTGTAAAGAAGAGGGCCACTGCATTCAAGAAACCTTTTTTATATTATTGTTATTTAATTATTCATACCTTTTAACCAATTGAATAAGTTTGTGCTTGATTCTGCTCTGGATAAAAAGCTATTTTTTCAAAGAGATATTCTCCAAGCATTAAACTACAAATTATTGATTTGGGATCTTTTATTCGAAAAAAATAATGTTCTAAATTTAACGAACAATATATAATTTAAAACTTTTTATATTTTTTGTTGCTACATTTCCATTTTGAATAGTTAATTTCCAGCTGAATAAAGCAAGGAAAACGCAAGAATGTGTGAGTTCCTATCGTTATTATATAAATAATAAGCCGATTGTTTTTTATTGTCCAACTTTTCTAATTACAATTTCATTTTATCACTTATTTTGTTTATTTGTTAACGTTCGATGTTTAACGCTCTACTCCATTTTTTTAAAATGAATCAGAGCGCTTGTAAAGAACACTTGGATCAAAAATCTTAAAAGATTTGTAAAGAATTTCATTTTTTTTCTTTTTTTATTAAAAAAATTGGTTCAGTAGAATAGCGGAAAATGATTCCGCAAAATCTCATATAAGTATATGAATTATAATCAGAGTTGATAACCTTGGTCAAATACAAAACTCTAAATTTTTTCATATGCTACACCCTAGATGTTACTAACCACGTTTTGTTGCAACTTTTTTCTATTTTTTTTATTTGCTGGTTTGTTTGCCCAATTAAAAATTTTAAGTTCGTTAGCAATTTTAAGCTGCGTTGTTTAATTTGCTACCAATTATACAACTTACTTTAAACAATGTATTGTATGTGTGTCTTAACTGAGTTAGATATTATAGATAAATTTCAAAACTATTCAGCATATTGAGGTATGTTGTTATAACTTGTTAACAAGCTATCTGTCTATTATACACTAGTAAACTTATCCGTGTTTTTTGGTGTTAAAAAGCAGATTTAGAAAACAACAACATGAAGGGTTTATTTAATAGAGTTAAATTAAAATACTGATTCCTAATAACCGTTACTTTTATCCGTTAGTGTTAGCAGTTACTCTTTAGGTCCGTAGGAACAAAAATTATATATGGGGGGGGGGGCAGTGCTGGAATAAGGGACCCGAAATAGATTTAAGGATCTTTTTTTTTTAGTCATTTTGCAGTCAATTTTTTTTATCAAAATTATTTATTTGAAAAAAAAAATTTTTTTTTTGAGGAGGATGGGGGGGGGGGGGGCGAGAAGCAACGCTCTTGCTGACCCCCCGGTTGCTACAGATCTGCTTTTCAGATGAAACAAGCAATTTGAAGATGGTAAATCAAAGAAGATTAAAGTAAAAAAAAAACTTTTTTCAATAAGTTTATAGAACTAATAAATTAAACCTTATCAAATATAAAAACTTCTTTGAATAATATTTCAGTTATTAATGAATGAATTCAAATTGAATGTTATTATTGATGTTTTTGAGAAACAATGGTGTCTCATAAACATGGTTTTTATTAAATAGTTTCATATTTGTCAAAATTTTGAACTTTATATTTGTCAGACTTTAAAGCACTTGGTATATCGTTGGAGTAATACTTTTAACAAAGAAATACAAATTTTAACTTGATTCCTTATCATAAATTTAGGTTAGGTAAAGGAATACGGAATTCCAAAAAAATCCCATGTGGAGTACCAAAAGCGTCAATACTAGGCCCTCTCTTATTCTTAGTTCATATAAACGACATAAGTAACACATCAGTCAATTAAACCCAGTTATGTTTTCAGATCATACAAACCTCTTTCTTTCCAACTATAGTATCAAGCAACTTTATTTATCAAAAACTATTATTCAAGGACTTAGAATTATATAAGATAAATGATTGGTTCACAGCAAAAAACTCTCATTAAACGACAAAAAAACAAAGTATACATTATTTTATAAAATTCGCAAAAACTAAATCTTCCCCTTAAATTACCGGATCTATTTTTAAATAATAAAGAAATAAAGCAGAAAGACTCTATAATGTTCTTAGGAATACTTTTTGACAAGCATTTATCTAAGTTTCCCTTGAATATTTACAATCAAAAGTTAGCAGAACCACAAACTTTAACTAATAAGGACGCTGTGTGTAGAAGCAAGTTGAGAGTAATACTATTAGTGACATAGTTAGAACTAAGCTTGGAACTTTTTGCTTTCAAAACAAGTACTCTATCACTAAACCGCTACCAAATTTATAATGCATATGCAGCAATATAAACCACATGACATAACAAACAAAATCATGTACCGAGGGTAAAATCATGTAAAATGATGTACCGAGTTTGTCCTTATGTTAATATGCCATGTCTTAAATTATATAAAAAATTTTTAATTCTGAGGAATAATAATAACTGCGATGAGTTTTTTTTCAAAATAGTTTTACTTTTTTTTTCTTTAATGGAAGTAATTGTTTATTTTTTTAGTTATTTATGCATTGGATTATATATTTAAAATCTTTGAAAAATTAAATTGGAAATTTTACTACTTACTATTAGGTGCATTTTATTAGTTTTGATGAAATTTATATTTTTTAAGGGGATCTATGAAAAGATTGAGGTTGTATTGCATCACACATATCTTCTTCGAGTCCCGGACTGTTTTTTAAACTTTTTTTTTTTTTTTTTTTTTTTTTTTTTTACGTGAAACTCTTATGTAACTTATTTTATTAAACAGCAAAATATATATTATTTAAAAAATAATAATAATGAAATGATAAATTTATCAGTTACGTTTTAATTAGAATGATCTAATTAAAACTAGTCGGAACGTAAGGTTTACCCTTTTAGGTACGCATTTAAATTTTAATAAAAGTGAATTTTTTGTAGAGCCCAATCAAAATTTTTGTAAACATTATTACTTGAAACGATGCGTCAAAAATACTCAATCAATAAAACTAATAATAAATAGTTTAAAAAAAAATTCATCATTTTGTTTTAGATATACATATTTCTTGGAAACCTGCTTATTTGAACTTCATTTGTATTTAAAATGGCAAAATATGGCTGACATGTTAACTCGTTTTTTGTGAGCAAGTTAAAACTTTTTAAATTTCTCTAGACCTTGTGAAAAATTATTTCATATCACCTGCAATAGTAAGAAAGTGCTACAATTCCTTTTTCATATAAAAGCTTTAATTTGAAATACAGAGTACGCAATTTAACTGCAAACTTATTTCGCTAAAGGTTGTTGTTTTTTAACTATTTTTAATGTACAGAACATTAAGAAGAAAATGAAGTTGATTATCTTTGCTTGTTTACTGCCTATTATAGTTTCAGAATGCGCCATAAATAATAATAATAACAATAACAGGCTTATAGGTACAAAAAACATATTCTATTTTTAACAAAATATGGTTACATTTTATGCTTTTATTCATTTTTATCAACTTTTTAGATTTAAAATGGGTATTATTACGAAGAAACCTGTGTTTTCAAGCTAGAAATGATCTCCCTGGATTTGTTCCTGTTTATGAAAACGGTTGGTTAGTTGCAACGAAGCTTGTGTATGTTAGTGGATCTTTAAAATGCTGGCCATCAGCTCAAGGGAGCAACTTTGGGTGCACTGATGACCACACTAAGTTTAGCGTTTACGTTTGTGATGGTAAAAAACAGACCATTTTTCCATCTCCTAATCAAGCACTTACTTATGATGGCACTAAATCTTATCAATACCCTGGTTTTACTGCAAACGATAATGAAGTGATTTTTACCGAGTTCAGTTACCCAGCATACATGAAAGAAGGACAGCATATCACTATTTGGAGCGGTGAAGATCTATACAACTCAAATGAAGGGGATAACTCCGGAATAGTTTGTGTAAACGTATTTGGCTCATTTGCAAATTCATTAAACTAATTAAATATTGTTAAATTATTATGTGGTTTAAAAAAAGTTACTTTCTTTTGTATAGTTACTCTTATTTTAGTATTTTATTTATTTATTGCGTGTATTGAAACCTTACAAAGCGTAACCATTTTTTCTCTATATTTTAGTAAGCGTAATTATTAAATCTATCAAGACCTTAAAATATTACCCAATAAGGGTAATATTTACTTTTAATATTACCCTTATTGGGTAATGTTACCCAATAAGGGTAATCCGTATAATTATATATATATATATATACATATATATATATATATATATATATATATATATATATATATATATATATATATATATATATATATATATATATATATATATATATATATATATATATATATATATATATATATATATATATATATATATATATATATATATATATATATATATATATATATATATATATTGGTAAATAAAGTTAATCTAGAATGTCTAGCATAAAAAGTGTTAAAGGTTACACTTTACTGCAGTTGTACATCAAATGTGCTATTATTTTATCTTTAGCTCTGCTTTCTGGGGGTATATTTGGTCTACTATTAATTTTCTCTTTGATACTTTTTCGTTTGTCCTACTTTGTTTGTGCTACTACGTTTGTGCTACTAGTATCGCTAACAGCCTATTTCTTAAATTTTGAATCTAGCAGGTTTATTGGTTTGTTTAAAAGTTTACACTTAGTTAAAACTGTAATATTTTTATATTCATATATATCTTTTGTTTTAAATTAAAAAAATAAGGCGTTTTTTTATGGTTATATTTTTGACCTTGCTGTCTAAGATTTATTTTGCTATATTGAAGCGGCAGTGCTAATATTTAAGCTCGGATAGATATGAAGCTTATTGTACTTCTCTGTAAAAATATAGATTTTTTGGATAAAAAGAATCATTAATTTTCATTTTAACATTTATGTTATTATATATTGTCTTGATATGAGAAATAAAGACATTTGCAAAATCAAAATGTTTAAGGCTTAATAAAAAAAGTTCTATCTACTCTTTCGAAAGCTGCAATTTGAACTGTGGAAAGTATACACATATCTAGTTTATCAATGTTAGAAATACTGATAATATCTTTAGTGTTACTGATTTCATTGTTTATTGTTCTTTTTTTCTAGTTATTACTTTTGGTAGAATTTTTTCTGATCTATTGAGCAAGGTTTTTGTCAAAATTTTATGTTAGGTTTGTTTGAAAGATTTTATTTTTAAGTTCTTTAATTACTGATTTTTATTTCTCTATTTATAAATAGATGTAATTAAATTTAGTTTACTAACTTTAGAATTAAGGAGAAGAACTACTTTAGAAACTTTTATTTCTTTTTTTGACCAACACCTGCAACTGAAACCAGATTAAAAAAGGGCTCTAAAGACGGTTTTTATAGGAGCCAAAAGCTCTATATTTGGCTCACTTTAAGGTTTATTAATAGCCACTTGGCTGAAGCCCAGCATTGCCAACTGCTGAATAAACTAATGGTTTGTCTCCATTTAACGTTCGGAGTGGACGTATTGCTTTGAGATTTCCGGTGTTTTAAATTTAAAAATAAATAAAAAAAAGTTAAGAGTATTTAAATAATAGTAAACTAATCAACCATCACTAATCAATCATCACTAATCAACTATCACTAATCAACCATCACTAATCAACCATCAATAAACAACCAACACTAATCAACCATCATTAATCAATCATCACTAATCAATCATCACTAATCAACCATCTCTAATCAACCATCACTAATCATCATTTTTGAGTTTGTTATGACGAAACAATCTTCAAAAAGACGACATGGTAGCTTGTTACTTAAAAAAATATTAGTAGCTTGTTACTTAAAAAAAATATTAGAAGCTTGTTACTTCAAAAAAGACAACATGGTAGCTTGTTACTTCAAAAAATATTAGTAGCTTGTTACTTCAAAAAATATTAGTAGCTTGTTACTATAATTATTTCTTTCTTTAAAATTAATAGGTACTTACGACATTTATCAATTTAAAGATAACTAAACATTATTTAATAAATAATAGTATACGGATTGCGTTTATCCATTGGAGATTTGTTAGGATAAAAATGAACGAAAATTAAAGGAAAAAAATGACAATGGTAGATCATAAAACGGTTTATAAGAGAATACGCTTCAGGCAAAACTTGATAATTAGAGTAATAAAGCTTCTAATCATCAAGTTTTTATTTTAAAAATTTTATATTCACTGATAAACTATTTTTATGCTGACTTTTTTAGTGTTATTGATTTATTATTTTTCTTTTTGTAAATAAAAAGACTTTTTTAGTGTTATTGATTTATTATTTTTCTTTTGTAAATAAGAAGACTTTTTTAGTGTTATTGATTTATTATTTTTCTTTTTGTAAATAAGAAGACTTTTTTAGTGTTATTGATTTATTATTTTTCTTTTTGTAAATAAGAACATAGATAATCATCTTGTAAAGGCAAAAAAGTTTCTCCATGGACGTAAGTGGATATAAATTTAAAAAAGGTTTTGGGAACCATTTTTTTATGAGCACGACACTCACTGAAAAAAAAAAAAAAATGGAAAAAAACATTTTGATTTATTCAATAAAATTAATATCCACATTGACTTTACCAGCCTGAGCTGGTAATTAATAAAATTATATTATATTCTATAGTAATATTTTATACTGCAGACTAAATTAAATATTAACTTAAATTAAAAGTTGCGTTTGAATAAAATTTAACTCCAAGATGAAGTAGAAAATGGTGTTTTAGACATCTCTTTAATTCCCCCCAATCCCCTAAAAAATGAAATTTTTTATATTAAAATGATTTAAAGTTTTGTCAAATTATTTGCAGATTAGACTGGTATTGTTTATCCATTTTTATATCTCTTTTTAGTTATTTAAAACTATTGCTAGTTTTCCAATATGATTGTTACTTGGCTATCGTTACATATCCTTGATTTGATTATTCATTTAAAAAAATAAAGGCTAATCTCCATCATTAAAAAAAGCATGAACGTCTTTATGAATCATAACATTCTGCATTCTTGATATCTGACAAAACCATCCTTGCAATTATCTTAAAAATAAATAAAAATTATTTTACTTTAAAGATTAAAATAAAATTTACTTGTATTGCTTTACTTCATAAATAGATTTGGAGAACCGTGCAAAAGAAAGTAAGTATTTATTAAATATAAAAAATATTATCATTGATACTTGAAAATTAAAAGTGTTTACAAGATCAAGAACTACCAAAAAAATAATAATATTTATTGTCTTATATAATTATTGTCTTAATAATCTTTATTGTTATAGATTTATTTTTTATGCTGCAAAAAAAAAAAAGCTTACTTAAGAAACTTGTAAAAACTTGGGCATTGTCATCACGAATCCACTTATTCACTGAGAAAATGTATCCAGTGTCTAACACATCGACGATAAGCTTATAAAATAAGTGTTAAAATTGAGTTAAAGTTCTGAGATAATCAAGTAAAATTCTGAGATAATCATGTAAAATACTGAGGTAATCAAGTAAAAGAAATATTCTAATAGTTTCATAAAAATGTTTTTTAAATATTTAATTTGCTCACCCAATTTAAATACCATTTGGTGTCCCATCCTTTTTTCTGAATTCGTTGCAGGATCATTTTGTTTATGGGATAAACCAAAATGTCATCAGTAAAGTTAAATACATCTAAGCTAGAAAAGCAAAGCTATTATATACACACACACACACATATATATATATATATATATATATATATATATATATATATGTGTGTGTATTTATATTTATATATATATATATATATATATATATATATATATATATATATATATATATATATATATATATATGATATATATATATATATATATATATATATATATATATATATATATATATATATATATATATATATATATATATATATATGTGTATTTTTTTATATATTTTTTTTAATCTAAAAGAAAATCTTTAAAAAACTAAAAAAAAATTATTTCAAAATATTGTTGCTTTGCTTAGGAATATATATATATATATATATATATATATATATATATATATATATATATATATATATATATATATATATTCTTTTTGGGGGATGTGAATTTTTTTTTTTTTTTTCTGATAGGGTAGAGCGGGGCAAGTTGGGCAATTAAAACATCTCAAAAACTACGCATCACTTGACAAAGCGTCTAATGGATGAAAGTTAGGGAATTAGAATGTAAACACAATGCGCAATAAAATATTGTTGAGTAAGATACACGTACACTTTTTTTATTTTCAACCAAAAAAGTAAAAAAAAAATTTTGCTATTTTTTGCTTAAATACTTATAAATTTTTTTAGTTTATAAGGGGTAAGTCAAGCAGCTTTGAAAAAATAAATATAACTTAACTTTCGAACACAAAGAAACAACTTTGATAAAAAATAACTTAGGATACATTATTTATATATATATATTTTTTAAATGAGTATTTTTAAATCGGGCTTTAAGATAAAAAATTTTTTAAATGAGTATTTTTAAAAGTTTAAGATAATTGTATAAAATAATATTTTTATATTTTATGGCGCTTTTTTATTATTTTATTTCTTTTCTAATAATTATGTCATTAAAGTGCATTAAAAAAATAGTTTATAAATTAGGCACACTTTTACTGTTAGTGAAAATTTTATTGATGATTCACCAATTTTCCGTACCATGCATATTCATTAATTTGTTGATTGCACAACTTACCCTACACTATTGCTCAACTTACCCCACGGGGCCAGGTTGAGCAGATCCGCAAATTTTAGGCATTATCTCTTTAAAAAAATTAAAAAGTATACTTTTTTCTTAACAAATTCTTAGCAAGTTAAATTATCTTTCAAAGAGTAAAAAAAATATGTAAACCCGACGCACCATTCATGTGATTTAGTAAAACTTGCTCAACTAGTCCCGCTCTACCCTATTTAAATAACTTTTGAACGAGTTTTTACAAAAAAAGTCAACATGCAAACTTCAAAAAACAGCTCCACTCAAAATAAATTTTTTTTGGTTAAAACATTTATTTTTCAACATATATATATTTACAAATTTATTTGTTATTTCTTATAATAAACCTTAAGTTTATTGTTTTTCCAGTATTAAAAAATATTTTGACATCTTGAACAATTTTTAAAACCTCTCTCAACACAAATGTTACTTCTTTAGGTACAGTGCCGGTTTAACCCACGGAAACACCAGACACGTACCGGGAGGCCACGTCCCGATACGCGTCTGGTCACAACAATTCAGAGGGCCAGAGCATCTTAGTGAATTTTTGAAAGATATACAATTTGAAAGAATAAATAATTTTTCGGCCTCTTTTCTGAACTTCCTCTCATGTCCCAGAGACTTTTAATTTTTGCAATTACAACGCATACAACGTATCGCAAACTAGACGTTTTTTTTAACGACTTGAAAGAGCTTTCGAGTTCGAATGTAATAGTGAAAATAGAAACAAATTTAATAAATAAATCAAGCAAATAAAGAGTAATAAAGTTATTCTATTTAAAAGGCGATTAAGAATTATTTAGAAAATCAAATAAAAGCATATTTCATTTGCGATTGTGAATACTTATTAACAAATATTTTCTACACTGGTGACTTTCCTTGATCTTAACGATGAGCCTACTTAGTAAGCAAAAACAAGAGCAGAGGCCTGCGGACTTTTGACCAGAACGGAACAAGTTGAGACAGCTCTTTTAAAAATCATTTGAAAAGGAATCACGGAGAAGTTTAACAATGTTAAAAAGAAACTGAAGTTCGTCAAGCTTAATTTAGGTATGGTTGAAGAAGTGTACAACTCCCTGGAGCATTATATGCAGCAAGTCGCTCCAATTTCGAGCGATGTGAAAAGGCAGCCGGTCTTTGGTCAATCTCCGCAACATAGATATCCTGGAGATCACTTGATGAAAACTTTAGTTCTGGATCTTTTAAAACTAATTAAATATAAGAATCTTGAATAAACTTTCTTTAACATAACGTAGCCCTTCAAATCTTTTTGACCACCGCTGCAACAAATTGTTGTGGAGAACATTTACTTTCAACATTGAAAAAAATCAAAAGCGTTCATCGCTCAACTACAAGTATATAATCAACATAAAAAATACTTATTATATAAAGAATTCTTTATTATATGTCTCTTGAACAATAAAAATCATAATAAATAGCAGACTTGTATCTTTTCCAACTTTTAAAGTTACATATTATCTTCTATTAATTAATTATTTAATAAGTCAGGAACATCTTTCAGATCTTTCTATTGTTCAAATAGAAAACCAGGTATTGGATTCCATCAATCAATAAAATATCATATCTGCATTTGCATGCTTAAAATGCAGATGAAAGGTGTTTTAAAACCTATATTAATCGCAGCCTGTTTTTAATAATAAATAACGCAAGATGCTTGTTTAAATACAAAAAAAAAAATACATTAGAAAACCATAGCGCAACAATTACAAAGGCTTAATTAAACCGCTGTTAAACTCGGGCCAAAAGACCTTAAGGCCAGAAGACCTTAAGTGCCGGGAGGCCAAGAAGTGTTTAACCCGGCCCTGTTTATGTATTAAGCGGAATCGAAATATTAATTCAGAACTGAATTTTTTCTGACTCCTTCTTGAGAAGATCAAGGTCACATGTTTTAAACTATAAATATTTAATTTAGTAAACAGCACATTATTGGCAAGTTGCTGATTTATGAAAGTGCAACATTAATGTTTCAAGTTTTTTTTCTATATAATATATAGTTTCAAATTGTAGGGGTTTGTGCAAAATACAAAAACTTTAAAATGTGTTCACCTTTTTCAAAAATCTTTTTTGAAAAAGGTGAGCACATTTTTAAGAAGATTTTAAAGATGAAAAGATAAAACCACCACGATTTTAAAAGGCTATAAAATATTTCCATGGTGAACTGCAAAATATTGAATATTCATCATCTATGGACATAGCCTGTTGAGAAATTAAACTACTTGCATGTGTTAGACATTTAATTTTACAATAATTTTTTTTAACAATGAACCCTGCTATAAAGTAAAGCTTTCTCATAAATGAAAATAGAAGATAAAGAACCAGCAAGGTCTATAATATAGTTAGAACCCTCACTATATTATATTAGGTTCAATAAGATGAGATCTCCTTTTACTTTAATTTAATAAAATGATTAATCGAAAAGATCTTTGGTCAAAAGTCAATCGATAAAATTTAATCTTATAATAGTATTTTTTAGTAAAAAAAAAAAAAAAAAAAACTTTATAGCAAATTTTAATTGACATTTTTTTCAGCGTATACAAGTGAATAACAACTCAATGTGATCTTGTGACATATATTATCTTGTCTTGTACATATGTTGTCTTGTATATATATTGTCTTGTCTTAAGACATATATCGTCTTGTCTATATATTAAAATTAATATAAAAGAAATCTCAAGGCTTGATAAAAAGGTTAATATCTTGTGGTAGCCATTTCACAAGAATTTTATTTTGTTCACAGATTTATATATAATTAGCTTTAATTTATAAAGTTTTAAAATATTTAAAAAATGAAAAGTTATTAAGCTTCAAAAGTTAATATTTATCATATTTACTAAAAAACTAAATTTAAGACTTTTGCTGATTTCAGGTCATTCAACTTTTTTAAGACATTTAAAATCAACAGAATTTTAAAAAAACTTATAAGACAAAAAACAAAGTTTTCATTAATTTTATTTATCTCTTTTTTTATAGTTAAGCAAAACCTGAGATTTTTTTTATAAGTTAGTCTCAATGGCGGATTAAGATTTCTTGGGGCCCGGAGCTTTTTTTTATTTTTTATTTTTCCAACCGCTATTTATAAAAAAACTTCCAAAACGATTCCAATTTTCGCTGCAAAAATAGTTATATTTTTGTAAAAATATCATCACCTATTTTAAAAAGTTGAATGACCTGAAATCAGCAAAATTTCTATAGCAATGGCAACTGAACCACTAAGTGTTTAAGCTGCAATTTTAAAATTCATTTTATGTGTGTTAAAGTAAATATTATAGATTGCCAAGTTTATAGTCAAACCCTCCTTCTTTTTCTAGTTTAAGTAATTCTTTAATATAGTCCCATTTAATTTATTAATTTTGTTTACCAAATAAGAAAACGATTCTAGACAGAGCATTTTGAGCTAACTTTGGCATATAGGAAAGATCTGGGATATGATATATAGGATGGATCACACCTTTCTTTTATTTTACTACCAAATAAACAGCCAAGAATCTTCATGGCACTAAAATTTAAAATAAGTCAAAATTACGAGGAATATTCTATTGCCTAAATGTCTTTGCAATAGTTAAAATAACTCCAGCACCAAACAAAGTCTTTACTTAAAAATGCCATTCAAGAACTTGGAATTTAAACGGTCTAGAAATTAAAGCTGAAGTATACCGCAACTATATTATATTAAATTAAACAACTTAAAATCTTGATAGGCATATTATATTTTTAATAAATTTTAAAAGCAGTTTACAATAAGATTTTTGGTAGTTTACCTTTAAACAATCTAATTCAATCTAATTCTTGCAGACCAGATATTTTATGAAAATATACACTATAATAATATACACTGTTGCAATTGGTCAAATCAATTGTAGAGCACAATAACAGAAGATGTTGTGCTGTAACAGCTATAAATGTTTTTATTGTTTACTTTTTAATGTAGATAATCTTTATTAAGTTTAATTAATTAATAATTTTCGCAATAGTTAAATTTATCAAATTTATTTTTGAATTGATCAATTGTTATTGATGCTGGTAGATAAACGGACAAGCACGTTACGTTTTACATTTAACAACACTTTTTAATAGCGTTCTTACCTTCCAGCTTCTAGATTAGAACCTTCGCCATCCAAAAAATACGTGACGTTTTTTTCGAATCCAACGAAGGTCAGATTAAATACTGAGTCTGTTCCAGCTCCTAATCCCCGTCCAGTTTTTAATGTAATTGTATAATCTAAATACGCAATGAAATTTAAAAAATAATTTTTTTCATTGATAATAAAATTATTTTTGAACTTTTTACTAAAACTCTTTAGAATTGTTTACCGTATTGCTGCTTTGCTCCGCTAATCAAATCTAATGTAACCATGCTAGTAGTAAAAATTAACAACAGCAAAACAGTTTTCATTTTTATAAATTCTTATTTTTAATGAATGCGCTATGCACATTTACTCGAATGTGTTATATAATATGAAAATAATTTTTATCCTTATGTTTGATCAGGTGCTTTCCAATTTGGTTCTTCAAATTTTAAAGGGACTTCAAGATAATTTAAAGCTTATTTATTCAGCTATTAAAATTCCAGTAAAAATTCCGTTGTAAAATTAAACACTTCAAAAGGTTATCTCTAAAAAAAAAGCATTTTATTTAATAATGAAAGAAAAATATCAATGTTTTGTTTGACAACTTAAATAAATCGTTGTAATCGATGTGTGTAACTATCCAAGACTGCAGTCACGTCAATTATATTTAAAGTAATTCAAGATAAACCGAGTAAAATAAAATAAAAAGTTTTAAGAAAAGAAATTTCTAAAACTAATATTATTATATATACATTTTTATCACAATATATATTTAATACACAGCTGTAAGCATGAAAATAGCAGTACATGGAAAATTTTAAATATTATTTTTTACTAATTACTAAAATATTTTTATTATATTTATTTTGACACTTAAATCTAATAGAATAAAAAAAATCACATCAATAGTAGTTTTACATTTTATTTTAGAACAATAATATTAAAAAAAGGTTGCGGTCATTGAAATAGCACTCGTATCTGAAAATGGAAATTTTTTTTTTTTTGTTTAGAGTTAAGCATTAAAAAAGTTAATTTTTTAACATTAAAAAGTAAAAAATAAGTATAATATAATAATATTTACACTTTTTGTATTTTGTTGCAAAACCTTTGTTTTGAATAACGCCTTCGCAACGCCAATACATTCAGTTAACAAAGCGTTGACATTTTTTTTCGGGTATTGCGTACCATGCTTGTTGAATAACTATCCATAACTGCTGAGCATTAGTTGGATTAGCAGCAGAAACTGCTTTTTTAAAGTCTCCCCATAAGTTTTCAATAGGGTTTAGGTCGGCTGACTGAGCAGGCCACTCCATAACTTCAACCCCATTGACCTGAAACCACTCCTTTGCCTTATGACTAGTGTGTTTCGGGTCAATGTCTTGTTGGAAGACCTATTTTAGCGGCATGTCTTCAACAGCATTGGGCGGCATGATATTATTGAGTATGTCGACATATATATGTTGGTCCATGATACCATTATTCTATTAAGTAGAGCTGGCACCATTATATGAGAAGCAGCCCCATACCATGACTTGGCTCCACCTTGTTTTACAGACTTAATGGTATATTTTTTCTGAAATTCTGTATTAGCTTGACGTCTTACATATTGTCTTGAACTTGTTCCTCCATAAAGAACGATTTTCAATTCATTGGTACATAATATGTTGCTCCACTTTTTGATGGGCCAATTCAGATGTTGCTTTGCAAACTTCAAACATTTAGCGGTATATATTTTTTTGTCAACAATGGATCTTTTCGTGGACTGTATACATATAAACTGTTCTCTCTTAAGCGCCAACAAAAAGTTGATCTTTGACTTTCTTGGCCGATTATTTTTATTTATTTTTACAATAATCATTATTATATATTTCAAAAACAAATAACATTTATATGTCTCCAGTACAATATATAAAGAGGGTTAACAAAGCTGTTTTACGTATACGCGTTTGACATCAAGTTAAAATAATAAACTTAAAAATTCGTGATTTATAATATAAAGTATTAACCCATTAATATATTAACCCATGCATTTAAAAAATATATGCAAATCCGTCGCACCACAGGGCTACTAGGAAACTCGCAGAAGACAAAGAAAAGTCTTTTCATCGAGAACCTTTAAAATATAAAATAAACTAAAAATTTAAAGAGTAAATCAACAAAACACACATTAACTTTTTGAGGTCTTCTGTTGAGTAATACCCCGACGGGCATTTGTTTTTAAAAGTTACGTTCTAAATGTATTTTAAATGTCTTTTGAACGTCTTCTAAACATTCTTGCGCAAAAAACGTTTAAAAGACATTTAAAATACATTTAGAACGTAACTTTTAAAAACAAATGCCCGTCGGGACTTTACTATGTATAGTTGCTAACTATATGTATTTATTAATTTTTAATTTATGTTTTTATTTCTTTTTTCTTTATTTATTTATTTTTATAGCTTAAATTGTTTTTTTTTACATTTTATTATATTAATTGTTCTTTTATATTTAATACATATCAACAAAATTGGTTTTGTTAGTTATGAGATCTTTTAGTTTTTTCTTCAGGGCAATAAGATAATCCAATTTAGTAAGTTCTATATTTTGAGCTATTATTTTGTTGTATAAATAAGGTTACGGTATACAATTGAAAAATTTGTTTCTTTTATGGGCAACGTAAAGTTCCCGGTTTCTCGCGTGATATATCTGTTGGTGTTGGCTTGAAAAGAGTTATTTTTGAGCATAAATAAAATATTTTGGCAGAATTTCTTTGATAGATATTTAAAGCATTCAAATTTTTAAGCAAAGGATCGGCTTGAATGAATTTATTTTTATTATAAATCAATCGTGATGCGTGTTTTTGGTGTATATATAGAGAACTTAATTTAGATTTATTTGTATTTCCCCAGGCAATATTAGCATATTTTAGATAACTTTGTATATAAGAAGAATAGAGAATTTTTAGATTCTCCTGGGAAAGTATAGGTTTGACTCTGTATATTATGCCGAAACTTTTTGATATTTTTGTAATTAATGTTTTTATATGGGGTTTCCAAGAAATCGTTTCGTCAATAATTATCCCAAGAAATTTAATAGTTTCAGATCTTTCGATGTTTATGTTATCAATTTTTAATAATGGTAGCATGCTTGGTATTTTTTTTTTGCTGGTTAGAATAAAACAAGATGTATTGTGTTTTTCTGTATTTAAAAATAATTTATTTACTTTAAACTAAATGTTTCGACTCTCAAGGTCATCGTTCGCAGATTCAAAGTGGTTTTCAATTGATGCTGATAAATAATATAAATTTGTGTCATCAGTAAACATTATTGCATCGAGTTTATTTAGTGATTGTGGAAGATCGTTAATACAAATTAAAAATAAAAGAGGACCAAGAATGGAACCTTAGAGAACTCTGCATTTTATTTTTAGTAAATTAGAGCATTTATTATCGTTTGAAATAACATATTGTTGTCTGTTGCACAAATAACTTTTAAACCAATCTAGGCTAGTATTTTTTATTCCGTATTTTTTCAATTTTTTTTTGGTAAGATATCATGATTAATTGTGTCAAATGCTTTGGATAGGTCTATAAAAGTTCCTAATACAAATTGCTTTTTATTAAAAGAATCACTTATGCTATTAACTAAATCTAAAATTGCATGTTCTGTTGAGTGCTGTGCTTGAAAGCCGAATTGTTTTTTATTTAAGAATTTGTTTTGAATTAGGTATTCATATAATCTATTGTAGATTATTCGTTCAAGTATTTTAGAAAAAGTTGGAAGTATTGAGATTGGTTTGTAATTATTTATTAGAAATGTTTCACCGATTTTAAAAATAGGTACAATTTTAGCTTCTTTTAATTTATCTAGTACAGCTCCAGTTTTAATTGATGATTTAAATATTTCGAAAATAGGTTTGCGTATCTCCGAAAATACATTGACGACAATTTAACTGCAAATGTCATCTATACCTAGAAACTTGTTTATTTTAAAAGAGTTTATTGCATTTTCGAGTTTATCAATTTTTAACTCTTTAAATATAATTTTATTGTTGACACTAGTTAGATAAGTTTCAAATGAGTTGTTTGGACAATAGACTTTTGAAGCTAGATTTGGGCCTATGTTGACAAAAAAAACTATTAAATTTTTCTGAAATTGCGTTATTATTGTCATACTCTTTATTATCTATGAAAATTTGAGCAGGTAAATTATTTATTTTGCAGGTTTTTATCCCAATTATTTTTTTCACGATATCCCAAGTTTTCCTAATATCACCATTTGTGTTTTTTATTTTATTTGAGTAATAGTTTTTCTTTGAATTTTTTTTTGATTTTTTGAAACAAGTTTTTATACTGATTGTAAACATTTAGGTTTGCCTCATTTCTATTTTTTAAGTATTTAATATAAAGTTTTTTTTTTTTTTTTTTTTTTTTTTTTTTGAGGATTTTTTAATACCTTTGTTGTTTAATACCTTTTAAGTGTTTTTCTTTTATTAATTTTACTTTAATTGGGAAGTGCATATTATAGTTTTTTAGGAAAATTTTTTTAAAGTTGTTATAAGCAGAGTGAGAGTGCCCAAGATTGCATTCATGGTATACCTCATCCCACTCTTCTGCCGAAAGTAAGTCCTTAAATTGTTGAATAGCAAGTTTGTTGATTTTTCTTATATAAGTTTTAATTATACAACAATTATTAGATTTTATATCTTGTGTCAAGGAGAAGAAAATAGGAAAATAATCAGATATATCTGTCTTTTTTTATTCCTGCCTTTAGAGAAGTATCAAAGATTGAATTAGTTAATATATTGTCTATTCCAGTGATTGAAGTCGGAGTTACTCGAGGTGGTTTGTTAATAATTGGGAAGATGTATGGTTGAAGCATTTCGTCAAAAAAAAGTTTAGTATTGGCATGTTTATCATATTGTAAACAATCTATGTTTATATCTTCAATACAGAACTTTTTTTTTTTGCTCATTGTTGTTTTTTATAAAAATTTGTTTTAAATGATTGGAAATTTTAAATAAATCACTTTCAGGTGGCCGGTAACACGTGGAGATCAGTATGTTTTTTGACTTATTGCTAGTTATTTCAATTGTAATCTATCGTTTTCTGTCACTATCGGTTTCTGAGATCGAATAGTCATCTCTTATTTTGGCAACTTGATCATTCCTAATATAAGTTATAATTCCACCTCCCCTTTTGTTAGTTTTTCTTTTAGATGATAATAATTTGTAGTTAGGAATTTATAAACTTGAATTTATTCTGCATGATTCGTTAGAACACCACGTTTCTGTTTGGCATATAATCTGGCCCGCCCATAGCTTTTGTGATGCCCGAGTCCAAAAGTTTAATGGATGCCTTATCGTACTTTAGGGCTTAAAATGACAAATACCAAATAAATTAGTATAGTTATTTT